AACGGACTCTTGTGAGCTTTAAGTCAGGTTATAATGTTGTTACCTCCTCAAAAACAAACCTGTCCACTGTCCCACATCTTCACCCTGATTGGTTGTTTATGTGAGCGTGGTTTATCTGCTTCCTCGCCAGTGTGGAGCAAAAAAATAAAAACTAGAAAAGCACTCAGAGAGCGCAGACCTCCGCCAAGGACTCCCCCCATTTTTTATATAAATTGCGATAAAATCAGTCTTCTGGATCAGATCCGGATCAGCCTTTGGAATATGAAAGAGGATCCCATTGTCCATCCCTGAGTCAAATTTCATGGGGTTTGGTCAATAATTAACCAAGATATTGAGAAACAAAATTTTTGGCCCCATTTACCACAATGTTAACTAAAAATTCAAAGTGATCCAGAATCCAGGATTTCTTCCGGATCACCCCCAAAATGAAATCAGTTCTTCCTTTTCACATTTCCAACAAATCCTGAAAATTTCATCAAAATCGGTCCATAACTTTTTGAGTTATGTTGCTAACAGACAAACAAACAAACAAACAAACAAACAAACAGACAAACGCCGGCAAAAACATAACCTCCTTGGCGGAGGTAATAAAATAAAAAATAGGATGGTTTTGAGTCAGCTCACAGAAATGGTGAGAAAATACAAACATCTGTATGACACAATGCTCAATGACAATGAAGACGCCAAATGGCAAGAAACTCATGGAGGGAGATCGCCGATATTTTTAGCCAGGCTGTTGCCACCTAGTGCCTCCGCTCAGTTTCATTTCTTTTCACCAACTACGTCAGGAATCGGAATATAATTGAAAGTTCACAAAAACCCCAGAAGTGCGAGTCCGGGCACCAGCCAATCAGCGAAGAGCCATACATTCTCTTTTGGCAACAATTCCCGAGCTCGAGGATTTAAAGCCGGAACAAAGAGAATGTTTGGTCAATTTTATCAAGGGGAAAAACGTTATTGTCCTTCTTCCTATGGGATTTGGAAAAAGTTGAATACCAGTTTGCCCCATTAGCGGCTCATGACATTCTCTCATCGATCTTATTGTATCACCTCATGGTCCCAGGCCTCCTCAACCAAACTGAAACCGCTCTGTTCATTATTCAAACTCACCCTTAAGGTCCTTGACAAAAAGCCCAAACACTGGTACCACTGTAAAATTTTAAAGAAACATAAACTTTTTAAATTTAAATATGTTACCAAATTTAATCATCTTAAATTCTTTAAGTGTCTTAAATGTGATACACCACTGCACTAAGAATTTGCCAGGACCATAAAATATACACACAAAGCAAACACAAGAGGAGCTACTAGTGGTAATTGCATTGTTCCTATGTACAGGACGGTTCTTGGTCAATCCTCTTTCTCTTTTAAAGGCTCCAGACTGTGGAACTGTTTACCAGCTAATTTAAAATTGGAAATCAATAACAACAAATGTAAAAGTAAATTAAAATTATTGTATGTCTCCAATCAAAAATGCACCCACTGAAAATGTACTGTTTATGTTTTATCTGTATGTAACTTATGTGTCTTTTCTTGTCTGTTTTTATGCATGTAGTTTATATTTTTAATGGACAGGTGTTGAAAACTTGCACTTGTGCTGAAACACTCAAAGCAATGCATCTGGCTTGTTCAATGCGATTGTGATGCTCTTAATAAACATGAAAATATGTCACGACTAAATAGAGGCGATTGGTTAAATTAAAAAAGTACCCGACCACCTTCGAGTGAACGAATCCTAATGCTGCGAGGTCAGACAGTTTCCACGAACTGAAACCAGCTGATGAACCAGGCCAGGACATTTTAGGCTCAGATGAAAATCAGTGTAGAAAATACAGCTGTGATCTCAAATTTGCAAAAGCCAAAAGGCAGGTCACCAAAAAAGAAAAGAGTGGTCAGGCTGGAGGACGAAAAGAAAACCTCTTTGCATCAGCTGGACTCCTTCATCAAACACAGGGAAACATCACCAATAAGACGTGTATTCAAGTCAAACAGATGTAAGATATTAATATTTAGGTAAGAGGAGCGAGGAGGTGGTGCAGTTCAGCAGCAGAACATCAAGCAGAAAACAAGTTTGAAATGTCAGAGCCCCAACGAACTTTGTTCTTGTTCTTATCACCTCAAGAACCTTATGTTCTTATGAAGTATGAATAGGCCTTAAGTCTGTCTACATCTCCAAAACTCAGAATGCTCTGTTCCACAAACAAGATGTTATTTAAATTAAGCAGCTTTTATGAAGTAAATGAGGGTCAAGTTTTACATAAATACATAAAAAAAAAATACAAAAAGTGACTCTCGAACAGAAAGAATAATGATAAATCTAAGTAAATGTACAAAGGCCAAGTCAAATGTGCAAAGGCTAAATGAAATTGGCAGTCACCCAGATAAACAAAAGTGCTACCTCTAGTGTCTCGACTGACAGATAACACAAGTACTTAAATTACAGGACAAGAGACACGTCTGGTTCAGAACAAGTCGCGCTGACACTGTAGTCCAGATACGAGGACGAACAGACGCACGGTACTTTTCTTGGACGAAGCGTTGGGAGATCAGGAAGGGGAGTGGAGGAGCAGGCCAATGAACCAATCAGCCATCAAACTCTGACAGTATATGCGAGGCGAAGTCATGATATCACAAATCTGTAGTTTTCAAGTTAAAAGATACCTTTTATTTCATTTGTTTCTTAGAGTTTGGCAATTCCGAGGCTGAAATCAGCTAAATGATTCTAGTGAAGTTGTATGGAGCTTAAAAACCCAGTGGAGCACTTCCTGTATTACCACATGACATCACAAGGTGGATCAGAGTGTTTTCAGTTTGAGAGAAGAACTCAGCCTAAATCTGCAGAGTTTGTGTGAATGAAACAAAACACAACTCTAGATATGTTTGTGATGAGAAAAATCATAACATAGATCTGAAAATAGCGTAATATGAAACCTTTAAAAATCATTCGGACTTGGAAATATATATAAAAAAGAAGAAATGCTGTCTGACATTTTGCTGGTGTCAAGAGAGCTGCATCATTTTTGAAGTTTAGTGAATTTGTGTGAGATCAAAGACAGAAAACGGAGTGTACAAAAACCTTTTTAATGAAGCATGAAGAGCCATCGTGTTACATAAAGTGTGATATAGAGACATGGAGCGTGCGATGGGCCTCTCAAAACCTGTCTGCTCAAACATCGACAATATTTACACGAGCTCATTTGAGAAGATGAAACGCGAGTCACGGAAGCGGAGGCGGCTCAGATGGAAGCTCCTCCTCTGAGCCGATGATTGGCGGTTCGGATCCAGCTCTTGACGTAAACGTGGCGGGTAGAGGGGTGAGATCCAGGTGCGATTCCTTAGGCGAGACACTTAATCCACTGTGGGGTTGCAAAATGGACCGGAAACTCATTGTGGTTTTCTGTAGAATCAGTGAGTGAAGTGCGACACTCTGTAAATCTGAGGGGAAAGAAGTTTGATTTGGTCCAATGAGCTCCTTTGTTTCATGTTTGTGTTACTGAAATAAACAAATCTGATTGGACGATCACGTTTGGTTCTTTTCTCGAGGCGTGACCGGACTGATATCCCTCAAGATTCCAAATGTCTATACGGGAAGAAATAAAGCATGCCATAACCTAAGACAATGAGAGCGTTTCCATGCACATCAGTATTCCAGTTTTTAGCCATATCCACATTATGGAAGTATTCAGGATATGCTGTTTACAAACGCACAAAAATGATATATTTAATAAACTAGGAAAAATACAAACAACCATGAGATTATGTGTTTAATGCAGCTTTGACACATTTGTTTACATTTTACAGAATCGAAACTTAAAACCACATGACTCATTTGCATAAACTATAAGCACTGAAAAAAAAAAAGCAGCTCTTTCCATGTGTCCTGATGCATCAGCTTCTGTCAGACATGAGTCTGAATCTGAGTGTTCTCTCTGTGACAGAGGATGTACTGATGGTGGTGAGTCTGTGCTGTGTGTATATCACGTTGGAGATGGTTCATGTTAAACTTTTCAGAGATCGAACACGTGCAGGTCGTATGAGTGCAGATTGTACGTGTGTAGGTCGTACGTGCAGGTTTCGCACAGTTATGCATTTCACTCATGTACAATCACTTTATTTATGCTGGCTACCGTTGAAAAAGACTGAAAGATGTAAATAATTCTTGATAATAGTGGAGCATGATGCACTTGTTGTAGTCCATTTTCTGGGAGTTGTAGTTTTGACTGTATTTCCTGTTGCTGGTTAAGAGGATCTGGATCCACCTAAAGCAGTGATAGCTCCTTTTGCTCACTGCTCCTTCCTCCTACTTGGTCCTTATAGCTGACCTCATGACGTTGTTTGTTTGTCTTTTGGACTCATGTGCACTCAACTTTATGTTGCAGTAACCAGGATACTGCATATACATGCCATAGTATCCCGGTTACTATCAGAATATACCAGCTGCAGTATCACTGTTATGAGAAACCAGGATACTGTAGGTGGTATATTTGGATAAACAGTTTCAGGCTGTGGAAAAGTCTGTATCAGGCTTTAGTAACTTGCTTTTGATTCATATTTAATATAATAAGACGAACTTTTCCACAGCCTGAGACAGTTAAACTTCACTATTTTTGTGGAGGTTTGCTAAAGCCACGGCCATCAACTGAGTGGAAATGATCATTTCTGCAAAAATAATAATGAATCATTTTAGAAATACACTAGCACAAATGAAAATTGTCACAGTACAAAACAGCACAGACAACTGACACAATTATATTATAAAAGAAGCACAAAGGAAACTTTTTGCAGCACAACACAGCACAAACGATAGACATCGATTTTGTGTAGGTGTGTGTTTGATCGGGGGCCAACTTCACTGAGGTGTTTAACCGTTGTTGAACTACTTGTGCATTATGCAGTAAAAACTATTCATATTATTAATAGTTGAAAACGGCCATAAAGTAGATGTACTTTATACTGTACCCTCACTTTAAACGTTTCCTCTCTCTCCCCTCTGTCCTCAGGTCCCACATGGGCAGCCCCGGTTGCCGCGGTGAGCCAGCCCAGCCTCCTCCCCCACACCTACACCCTCCCACAGCCCCCCTCCTTCAACCACAGCGTCACCGCGCAGTCACCCATCATCGGAGTCACCCCCTCCATCCAAGCACCCATGCACCCGCAGCACCCGCTCATGACCGCCCACTTCCAGTCTCCGCAGCAGCCGCCCTCTATGGTCCTCAACCTGCCCACGCAACCGCCCTACCAACCGCCGGCCGTCACGCCGTCCCCGCTACAGGCCAACCACGTGGTCCATCCCAACCATCACCTCGGCAACGGACACCTCGGCAACGGTCACCTAGCGCACCCGCACCCGGGTCACGCCCCCCTGCTGCACCCGCCCTCGGCCCTGCCCCTGACCAACGGGCAGGCGCAGCTGGCAGAGGCGCAGGACGGAGCGAGCGGGCTGCAGATGCTTCGCACGGTGGGCATGGGGAAGTATGAGTTCAGCGACCCTGGACATCCCAAAGGTAAGAGCGCTGTGCTGCTCTGTCCTCTACTCTGTGTTCTGTCATCTCCACACCTGTCAATGCTGACGTTTAGAGCGCTGCAGAGAAGGGCTGTTTCTCAAGGAGAGCTAGTATTGTTGTCATGGGTTACAGAGAGATGCTATGGTTTGGTGCTTCAGTTGTTTCAGTTTTGTGTCATGCATTTTGATGCTGATCACAGGAGGAGTTTGCCAAGTTTTAAAGGTCTGTCAGTTGTTTGTGAACATGGAGATGTCATTGCTTTACCTGGAATGTTCCGGTGTATGGTATTAAATTAACCAGTTATTCAACAATTTGTATTACCTTGAAAAACATTTTAATTCATGAATTAATCACTGGAATGGATGAATAGTGCTTTAGAGCATTATTCATTCACTCCACACTGGTGATAAGTTACTATTGTAGCCACAGAGCTCCAACCACCACCATCAGCTCTAGACTGGGTGGGTGAAGTGTCTTTTTTTCTTTCCTTTTTTTTCACTACCACCCCTCTGTCACACCTGGTATTCCCAGAAGTCTCTTATCCAAGTACTGACCAGTGTGATGAATCCCTCAGTCGTCCAGGTAGAATCCATGAGGAGAAAAATTCAGTTTGTCGACTGGTCAAAAGTTAGTTTGGTTGAAGACATTTCGCAGCTCATCCAAGCTGCTTCTTCAGTTCTGGTCAGACGCTGGTGGACACTTCCTTCCAGGTCAGGTCCAGAGGTGTGGAAGCTCCATTATGCCCATTAATTGTTATGCTAATTAGACCCCACACCCTGTACAGGTCAATAGGCCTAACTAACTAACAGAAACTGTAAACAAGTAGGTGTGTTAGTTTCAGTTAGTTAACTCCTCCCTGCAGATAGAGGAAGTGTCCACCAGCGTCTGACCAGAACTGAAGAAGCAGCTTGGATGAGATGCGAAACGTCTTCAACCAAACTAACTTTTGTCCAGTCCACAAACTGAATTTTTCTCCACAAGTACTGACCAGGCCCAGTCCTGCATAGCAAAGGACATCTGACCGGATCAGGCTTTGACTTGTCGGTATGTGGTCATCATGTATTCTTCCATTAGCGGGCTTGCTTTTCCAACAGATCTGGCCTGGAACCTGTAGTCTGCAGGCTGCTGGTGTCTTCTGTTTGTCTCCATGGTGATAGGTGGATTTTATGCCATACGGTCAAACATTCCAAGCAGTGACATTTCCATGGAAACAAACATAGTGCAACAAATGATGAGTTCATTTCGAGTACTAGTGACACTACTTGGTCTTGGTGATGTGAGATATGTTTATAAGTAGTTTATAGTTCATAAGTGGTTGTTGTGGATAATATTGAGCTAAAGTGTTCTGTATTTGCAGTATTGAAAAAGGACAGCGGTGAGGTGATTACATAGACCATGATCCTTTGCTCCGTTTCTTTGAGGCAGACATATATACATTACTGTTATTGAACCGGTATTCAGTGTCCTTTGAAAATTGATCTGAGCAATAATAGCATAAAAGGCCTTTTCTTGTATTCTTTGAGGGAAAATACCTGTGAGGGCAGTACTGCAAGTAGATACACGCTGAAAGTAAAAGTGGCCTGTTAAAACGGATAAGTCTGATGCCAACTGTTTTATTTGGAAGACAAAGGACATTTTTGTTGGTTGTTTTAGATCTGTACAAACATGCGCAATGCTTATCAGAAAAGTCATGCTGGGAGATATGACCAAAAAAAATATATATATAGTGTATATTTTGAAATCAGACCAGGGACTACTCGTTTTTCAAACACTGTGATCTCTTTACATTTTCATTCTTATCATATGCTTTTATTGAAGACACTGTAGCGCCGCTCTTAGATATATTCCCCAAATGGTCCGGCTGCAGCTCTATATACCCAGACTCATGAGGTATTAGCTCTTAAATCACTTCAACCTGGAATTCTCTTTTCTTGCCTGTGCGCATACGAGTGTCAGGTGCCTAAAGCCATAAACAAGACCACAAACACCACAGCTATAGCACGTCGTTAAAATACTGTTGCAATGTGAGCCCCGTTCACTGGAAAGCCAAGGCAAGGTCAAGGAGAGCAGCAGGGGCACGGGGACACAGAGAGAGAGAGAGAGAGGGACAACTGTCGGTAATGGTCAGCTATGCTCTGGACGCTCTGTTCTGATCTCAATCTCAATTTAACCACCTGTCGCTATAATGGTTCTCGTTGCTAAAGTAAACAAATGCAAACACCGAAATGATCCGTGAAAAATCAGGTGACGTCTGCGTGGACCGGTCTTGTGATCCTGATATTATATCATATTTTTATCTAGTTATTATGGATGCACCGGTCCAATACTCCGAGCCGACACTGAACAATTTGCTGACTTCCAAATATCGATCAAGCCGATATCCTGGTTGAACACATATATTCAAGACTATTTACTGGTCATAGTGCATTTATACAAAGCTGTTCTCTAGTTATGTGACACATAAATAGTAGCTCCATAAGACAAAACTGATCCTAATAGGTTATATTAGTTATTTTATTTTTGCTTTCAGTACCAACATGGGTATTGCTAATTTTCAGATGACATCACAACATTCTATAGCCGGGGTGTCAAACATATGGTCCAGGGGCCAGATCCGGCCCTCCAAGACCTTTAATCTGGCCCTCGGCTGATTTTCTGCTAAAATATTGTAATCATATTTTCTATTAAAATATTGGTAATTTCTTGAGTCGCTGAGCATAGCAGCGTCTCCAGCGTCTCTGTACGTGGCCCCTCCCACCAGAGCAGCACAAATGAAGACTTGTCTCTTTCCAAACGCTCTTAAAGGACGATCGTTTTGACTGTTGACCGTGACACCCTCATCAACAAAATGTCCAAAATGAGAAAAGTGGAGCCGAGTGCAGGATTTTACAACAAAAATTGACTTATTCGTATTTGCAGACAAGTTCATGTTAAAACATTGTGTTGAAATTGCATTTTTCTTAAAGTTTCAGGTTGTTCTTAATATTATATTTTGTAAAAGAAAGAATTCATCAATTAAAAAAGATTTCTGTCATAGATTTGTGTTTCTCTGCACAAATATTTGAAGTTATTGTTATTTTTGGGGTTTATATGCCATGAGTTTTCTGATTCGGCCCCTTTGGGATCAAAGTAGGTTGGATACGGCCCCCGGAACAAAATGAGTTTGACGCCCCTGATCTATAGGCCAATATTATTTACTACAGATGGGGGCAGCTAAAAGTTTCATGATTAAATTGCACTTTTTGTTACATACAGTGAGTCCTTGGGTCTAGTCATTAATAGAAATAATCAAGTTCAACATTTGTGCATTTACCTTTTTAGACATTTGTCATGAAAGTACAACATTATCAACAGAGAAATCTGGCTCTTTTCCCCATCTGGGAATCTGACATCATCACATTCTAGAATCTGAAAACCACCAACATTTTGATATCTATAATAAAACTACAATATCAGAATTTGTATCAGAATCATAGACTGTATAAAGAAGTGGACTAAGTGAGTGTGTCACCCATAGTGTTCAGCACCACTCAAAAGAGGCTCACGATGCTCAACAGTTAAAGGAGCTAATCTGGAGCCAGACTCTATGTTATGAATAGGATTTTTTTTTTTTTTTTTTGATGGACAAAATAGCAAAAAAATAAATAAATAAAAAATCAGGATCATGTAGAGCAGACATGTCAAACTCAAGCCCGGGATATAATTATATTTGGCCCGCGAGATTATATCAAATATGTATTAGAGCTGCCCGCTGGCGACAGATAGACTATAGTGACATTATTTATTTAAAATGATCTTATTATTTTGAATTATACTTGCTCTGGATTCAATGTTTAAGCCAAACAGTATCTCGAAAGAAGAGAAAACTTGCAGATGTTGCTGAAATTTCTCAATAAATATTTAGTTTGGCCCACGACTTAGTCCCAGTTTTTAATTTTGGGGCTTTGTGAATTTGAGTTTGACACCCCTGATGTAGAGTGAGTTAATATGAACATTTTAAGACCAAAATGTTGAGGCTCACTGCAGCAGTTACAGAAAGATGAGCCACAAGATCCTAATGTAAGTCAGTTGGAGCCAGAAGTCTCCTGGCGAACTATGTCCACTCATATATACTGTGTATGGTTCAGCGCCAGTCAAATGAAGCTCATTGAGGCTGTATTTATAGGAGAGAATATGGAGCAGAGTCCCATTAGGAATAGGACTTTATTTAAGTACAATGAAGATTTTAAGACCAAAATGATGAAGCTCACAGCAGCAGGTACAGCGAGAGGCACGACAATTTTTCAATGTAAAGACAACTGGAGCCAGACTGGATGGAACCTGAAGTGCCCCTGTGTTCACTTCCTATTTGGAATGCAGTAGCTGGTTAGTTATGTCCATTTCTATACACACTCTATGACTGGAACTGAAACAGCTGGGTTAGTGCATCCTTAATATTTATGAAAAAAACAAAAAAAAGTATATTTTATGATGTGCCCTAATCACTTGCAAAATGTTCCATAATTATATTGGTGGTTTTCAGATTATAATGTAATGGTGTCAGACTCTCAGATGAGGACAAGGGACAGATTTCTCTATTGATTATGTTGTACTTTACCATCAAATATCTAAAAAAACAAATGCACAAATGTTGAAAAACCTGATTTCTATGGCTGACTAGACCACGAGTGTCAAACATAAGGCCTGGGGGGCCAGATCAGGTCCTCCAAGACCTTTAATCTGGCCCTCGGCTGATTTTCTACTAAAATATTTTAATTATATTTTAATTTTCTGTGGTGTTTATCACAGCAGCGTCTCCAGCGTCTCTGTACGTGGCCCCTCCCACCAGAGCAGCACAAATGAAGACTTGTGTCTTTCCAAACGCTCTTAAAGGACGATCGTTTTGACTGTTGACCGTGACACCCTCATCAGAAAAATGTCCAACATGAGAAAAGTGGAGCCGAGTGCAGGATTTTTTGCATACAAGTTCATGTTAAAACATTGTGCTGAAATTGCATTTT